GATGCCTGCTAATCAAGTCAAACCAAACCAAACCTAACCAAACCTGGCCTAACCTTACCTACAACCTACAATCTTAAACCTACAACCTAAAACCTACCACCTTAACCTACCCACCACACTAAATCCGCACTGCACCAAGCCATTAGCCAAATCCGCTCCGCACCATGCCAAATCCGCACCAGCCGAATAAGCCCGCACCAACAAGATCTCGTCGAAGTTACCATATTTGCAGATTGGCTGCTCCAGTACTCATTCATTATTCATGGTTTCCATATGATGTTCATTATATCTTTTGCTGGATTATATGAAATTGAAATAGCTGTGCAAAATGTGCCAGACCATGTTTCTAAGTGACTTCAATGATTTAGAAGTTAGAACTTCATCACTCACTGGTCTTCTTATGTAAGGAACTGTGGGCAGCATGGGCACAGTCTAACGTAGCTAATGAACCTGCAGTTCAGCTTCAGCCTTACATTAAGGTTTCCTGAGTGTGCAATATGCATTCAAAAATAGATGTGTTTGGAGTGGACGAAGAAGGTGATGGTTCTTTGTGCTGAAAATGTTTAGTGTTGTATTCATATTTCAGCATAGTTCTTCAACTCAATTACTTGACCCATCACTCACTCATTATCTCAAGAGCACTGCTCAACAAAATGAAAATGATTTTATTGGTGCTATTAAAGTACGAACATTAAATATCATCAGCTCACCAATATTCTTCTGAATCATGTGATATTTTGTATCTCTAAATGATTTCCATTTCATAAAAGAACATACTCCACCCTTGTAACATTTATTGTACATGCCACATTGGAAATACATTCATAATGATTCATGTCACTGAAGCACTTGTGCTTGCTTATTTGTGCCTTGCGGCAGCACGACAGCTGCTCACAATGTTCTATGTTAAGGTATTAACCACAAATTATAATAGTAGACAATACTCTACTCAATTAACTAGGTACTTATTGGATGAGAGAAATGTAAAAAATGGACTCAACAAGACCATTCAACCAGGTCCCTTGCTTTGGTGATCAGTTGATTGTTCTCGTATCAAGTGAACTTCAACATTTTATGATTTTACACATTATTAATATTCACTAGAAATATTTGTGATAAAAAGACCAATACTGGCATGTTTTCTTCTCTTGAAAGGCATAACACAGCCTTTTTCACACTTCAGCCCATTATCTTGTACCTATTCAAAATGGCTCAGATACGAGTCTTCAGTTCCTTTGGTAGTGCAGTATGAGGCATACCAAGTTCCAGTGGTATTTTTGAAGCATACTATAGATCACTCGCCAAAACAATGCACCTCATAGAAATCTTGCTATTGTTAAGTGAATGTTTGCCATTCGATTTGGCCAAAATCATAATAAATTTGCATATTATTGATAGAAAATGGCGTTAGTATCTAACTTTTGCAAAAGCGGCGCAAGACGCATTTGGTAGCACTATTTTTTTCCTTCACGAGAAAAAACTTCATCGAAATTTGCAGGCCTCATCTAAAAGGCAAAATTAATGCTTGGTTCATTCGAATTCGACCTATTGAGGCCCGGTTTTGGAAAAATCAAGCCTTACTGAGTCAAATGGTATGCTTTTTATAATATTTTAGCCCTCAACCTGGGCGTCAGCCCAGCTCAAAACTCAGCCTCATTGGTATGGATCGTTATGGGGTGAAGGGATTTTTGCCGCCCACGTGACGTCACAGTAAAGGAATTCTGAGGCTCGTGAACGGGGGCTGCCTAAAACCTGCCTTTATACATTAGGCTGCATTACGAACGTCAAATTATTTGGGGTCCGGACCTCCGGGACCCCACCAGTGGTGGAGCCCCTGGTCACTTTCATTGTAATAAGCAAGGCAATGAGAAATCTTAGCCATACGCTTGTTATGCGTAGGGAACGAAACGTGCAGCTGTGATACATGCTTTTTAATGAAAATAGCTGACACCGGTTAATAAATCCACCGCTTATTAAATCCAAAACACCTTATCACCAAGGTGGATTTATTAAGCGGATTCCACTGTAATACAAATGCCATATATTTCGCACTAACAGAGGCACATGCACAACAGTTTCAAGTACAACGCATCCCACGCACCATACCCTCACACTTAACCCGCGCACCGACGGGGGGGGGGGGGGGCGGATGACCGCCCCCCCTGAGATCTCGAGAACGAAGCAAGATAGCGACAAGCGGTAAACGGCATCGGATACGCACGGCCAAGATCTACAATTTTTACTAAGGTCATTTTCAGGTCAGGTCAAAGATGACGTCACAGGGGTCGAAAAAGTCAAAATGGCGGCGCTAGATATGGAGAGTTTTTCTCGAATAACTTTCGAATTAGTCAAGATAGGAACAAACTAAGGGCATTATCGTGATCCTCTCGTCAATCCGCATCGAATGATATATATGTTGACCTCGAAAGGTCAAGGTCAAAGGTTGACCTCAGGTCGCGTGACCTCGAGGTCATCATGTATATCATTCGATGCGTCTTGACGAGCTAAACACAATGAGACCATCCACGCGTCTGCAGCTTGTTCCTGTACGGAGTTATTGGCCAAAAACCTTTGGTGACCTTTGATGACGTCACATGACCTCACAGCTGCCCAACAGCAAAACAGACCTCAAGGTAGTGAAGGTTTATCGTATATGAAGTCATGTATGGTATATGGGGCCATTCCGACCCGTTTTAGTGGTAAAAACAGGGAGTTGATTTTCCCCCCATTGACTTATAATGGGGAGGTCGCGAAATTGACCTGACCTTAGGTCACCGATATCAAAATTCCGAGATATGCAAATTGTAGCTACTAATGACCTTATAATATCCTGCGACTTTCAAAGGCCTCCGACATCTACTGTAGCTCTGGAACGGTGACAAAGTTGCAAAAAAGTGACTTGAGGTTGGGTCATTCAAAGTGACCTGGTGACCTGACCTTAAAAGGTAGGAGGTTCAAACTTGCACACCATGTGTAAAATTGATGAGGTTATAGTCATACCAAATTTCGCGGAGCTACGCGCCGCGGTTTTTCCGCTATTCGCGAAAAACCTCAGGGGAGGGAGCGGATATCCGCCCCCCCCCCCGTCGGTGCGAGGGTTAAACATCCGCCTTACGCAGTGCGATAAATTAATAACATTTTTTTCGACTTCAGTCGATCGCTGGTCATCGCTTGTCGTTAATCTAGGTCTCTTCTCAATACAACACGCTTTAACCCGCGCCCTGCTGGGGGGATGTTTGAACAGGAACACCCCCCCCCCCCTTGTGGTTTTTCGCGAAGCGCCGCCGTTTTTGGTACACCTTATCATACATCAATTCTACACATGTTGTGAAAATTTCAGACCAAGGTCATTCAAGGTCAGGTCACCAGGTCACTTGAAGTGACCTCACCTCATAAAAAGTTTCAATGTCTCTCATAGCTACACCGAGTGACCGATCGCTTTGAAACTTTTAGCGATTGCTAAGAGCAATAGCATGTACAAAATGTATATCTCAGAATTTCGATATCGATGACCTAAGGTCAGGTCAATTTTGCGACCTCCCCATTATAAGTCAACGGGAGAAAATTGAAATGCGCCTCTTTTGGACGAAAGACATTATAAACACTCCCAAACACTGAACTACAAGTGGTTTAGACACGCTGCACATGAAAATGGTGTCCGTGACCCCTGTTTATGCCCTGAGGTCATCTTAGGTCACGAATGGTGTCTAACAGTTTTTCGCAAATAACTTTTGATAGAGGCATGCTAGAGCGATGAAAACGCCTTAGATGTGTTCAGCTCGACGATACGGATCGACTGATATGCAACATGACCCTTTCCGGTCAGGTCATGACCTTGACCTGAGGTCAAATTTTCAAGTTGACCTTTCAAGGTCAAGTTATAGTTCATTCGATGCGTCTTGACGAGAGGAACACGATGCCGGTAAAAGTAAGCTCGTACATCTGGTGACCTGACCTTTGGCCTGACCAAAAAATTGACCGAAGTAATTTCCTCATTATTTTTTACACTCTTTCGAACGCCGCCTTCCGCGTATCGCTACGTGGCCCAGGAGCCGAGTTAGAAGGGGGGGGGGTGTTCAAACACCCCCCCCCCCAGCAGGGCGTGGAAATCCAGGACCCCCAGCCGGGCGCGGGTTAAATGAGCAGTGAATATGTTCACGATGCTCGCTTGGCTAGCAGAGGACAAATCAATTATCAATCAATTAGTCCGTATTTACGCCGAAGCGTATGATGAACTCTGAAAAACATTCCACTCTGACCAACGTCACTAGCAAGCATGGTTTTGATCATCACATTTTCACCCGACGTCAGTCGCCTATAAAATACAAGCTGTCTACCTTCAACAAGCATTGGGAAGGTCAGCAGTTCGTAAGCATGGCATAGTGGATGGTTCCTAAATGATGTTGGTAGCCTAAGGAACTTGTCGATTGTGTATCAAGTTTTGGGATGTACACGCCTCTTCATTTTTTGGGGGGTTTTCGATTTTTAGAGTCGCTTTTTCGCTTTTAGTCGTGTTTTCTATTTTTCGCGTCGCTTTTTCCAGCTGCTGATTTCGTTTTTTCAGTTTCACTGCCGTGGAGCTACACTTATGTTACCGGGTGTCCCACAATAACCTACCACACTGTGAAGCTAAATAGAAGACCATATGTTTTGTTAATGACGTACATTTTAGGTGCACTTGACTCGGCATTCTTTGCTATTTTATTTGACATGTTACTTTGCCCCCCCCTTTGCCCTTTGCCCCCCCCCGCAACAGGACGTGGAACCTGCCAGACCTCAACGGGGCGCGAGTTTTTAAAATTTATTATTAAATTTTAAAAACTCGCGGGGCGCGGTTTTATTAAAATCTTCGTGGGGAAGTTTTTCGGGACACCCTGTAATTTCTTTGATTCATATCGTAGCGTCTGCGTTGAAACATCGTGGGGCTTGTGTTCCCATGAACGGACTGTTTCCTGAGTGCAGCCCCTTCCGTCCCTGTGAAAACGATCGCCCGTTGGCAGTGCCGGGCCCGCCGGCCGACATAAAGCTGGTCTCCCTGTCGCCCACGTCCATGCTGGTGTCGTGGCTACCCCCGAGGGAGCCGCGCGGACCCATTCTGCGCTACCTGGTCTACCAGCGCAAACAGGCCACTAACAAAGAGGTGAGGCAATGGCAAACATATCCCTAACAAACAGGTGAGTCATACCTAACTCAAAAAACACATACTGGCACATTTGGAGCGAGAAGACCTTCTGCTGCCATCTCAACATGGGTTTGGAAGCTCATGTTTGACAAATTTATTAGATTTCCTTGAGTATGTAACAGACCTTGTAGATAGAGGTAAAAATGTACCAATGGTCTACTTAGATTTTTGTAAGGCTTTTGATAAAGTTCCCCACAGACGATTACTAACTTCATTAGAAATTCATGGACTGAGCGGGTCTCTACTTAACTGGATTGAGAGCTGGTTATTAGCACGTAAACAGAGACTAGAGAGTAATACTTAACGGACACGAAACGAATTGGTAGGATGTTAGAAGTGGTGTACCTCGAGGTACAGTCCTAGCCCCTTTATTGTTCATCATTTTTGTAAATTTGATAGACTCGAAGCTAACAAGCAAACTTTGGAAGTTTGCCGATGACATTAACCCGCGCCCCACTGGGGGGGGGGGGGCTATTTATAGCCCCCCCCCCCTCCCGTTTTTCTGCAATAACTTCCAAACCGCTTGACGGATCGACGCCAAACTTACAGTACCTTTGGCTGCATCAATTTGACACCTTGTGTCAAAATTTGAACTTCGTAGCTACCATAGGTCGGCCGGAAATGACGTCAGAGTGACGTCATGTTCGGCCGATTTCGACGCAAAACATTGAACCACGGCAATCGCTCCCAAGAGCTCAGTTTTTAAGCTAGAACCAATTTCTTTGCATGAAAGGACTCAAAATTGACCGCGCTATCAAACTGCTATCTCGAATTTTCAAAATTTTGAAAATTTCGAAAATTTGATATAATAATATTCAAAATATGTATTTTTATATTTTTTTTCAAAAAGTTTTTGACTTTTCGAAAAAACCGGAATATATGTGACAGAACGCTTGATTATGACTAACTCTAGCAAGTTTTAGCTAAATATCTTCAAAAATGGCCAAGTTATGCGCATTATTGCAAAAAATTCACAATTATTAATTTTTCAAATCAATTTTTCAGTACGTATTTGACATCGTACACCAATATAAATGGCACCATCGTGTTTCTGAGCTCAAACTGCATCCAATAGACACCTTTTTTTGAAAAAATTTAACTTCAAAATTTGACCTTTTTTGACCTGAAGGTGACCTGACCTAAGCTAAATTCGACTCAAAATGACCTCGAATAACACAGACGACATCAAATTCGAAATCTATGGCCTAAATGGACCATAAAACATGTGTCACGTGACCGACGCATGATAAAATATTTTCGTGACCTGTATGTATGTATGTATATATTACATCAACAGACACTCCACACATGGTTGTGGCTATTCTGTGCCTTAAGTAAGATAGATAAAACAAAGTGTCAATGAGGTGGGAGGGATGTCACGCAACATGTACACAGCATACATACACGCACACACCGCTCATGCACACACGGTCGTAAAAGCTACTGCAGTACCAGCGACTTGGCAGCGCGCTTAAAAGCAGACGGGCCCAGAGCTCGGGTCTCGATTGGTAGGCGGTTGAGAAGCGTCACAGCTCGGTAACTAAAAGATCGCTGTCCGGTCACGGTTCGGAAAGCCGGCGGCCGAAGACGCCCGTCCTGTCTAGTTGGCCGGTCACAATTGCGCGCGTCGGAAAAGCACTGGAAGAGTGAGGCCAGTTCGGACGGCTCTCCACTGACAAGTATCTTGTGAGCTGCAGTCAAGGTATACAAATCATGCATTTGCCGCGGCACCATAAAACACAACTGATTTCGCGCTCGAGAGATGTGATCAGATTTCCTAAGACCGGTCACTACACGCGCTGCAAAATTGACAACCTTGAGCATCCGAGCATCGTTCGCCGCGGATCCGTTCCCGTAAACTGTGATGCAGTAAGATACTCGCGAAAGCACCAAACTCTGAACTATTGAGAGCAGAGCCCTCTGCGGGAGGAAATGTCTCAGGTGACGGAGACCTGTGATGACCTGACCTTGACCTGAAAATCAAAGTAAAAGCTTGGTACCCTCAGGGTATCTAGAGCATCTGTTTAAGAGTGTGTGTACCAAAAATGAGCCTGATCTGACTTGTAAGACGGCGGCCAGAGCCCAAAATGTGAACAAGCCAAAATGCTAATAATTTTTACTTTGACCTGACCTGTGACGTCATCGGTGACCTCGAGGTCAATGAAATTAGGTTTCTCTCGACAGTTTTTCCGGGGCTATCAGACGCCGTTTGAATTTTGACGATCGGCCCAGTAATTTCGGAGTTAGGAGGGGGGGCTATGAATAGCCCCCCCCCCCAGTAGGGCGTGTTATACACAGACCCCAGTGGGGCGCGGGTTAAGTTAGCAAGGGAAATTAGTTCCGAAAATGACAAGAAAGCACTACAATTGGATTTAACATTCTTCATGATTGGACTCGAGAATGACAGATGGAGTTTAATATAGACAAATTTAAAGTCCTCAACTGGGGGGGGGGGGGAATTTGGTCATGCTCTGTAGTCTGTACAGTGGCGCGGGAACTTCTTCAAGACTGGGGGCTCAACCATTATAGACATCAACCTAGGGTACCCCCAAATCTAGTTTTCTCACCGTTTTTAGGCCACTTATTTTTCAGACCTTGGCCTGTTTAACGAAGAAAAAAACGAAAATATTTGCAAAAAAGTGAGGTATTCCGTCTCAGCTGAGTGAAGAAACTGTCGTTTTGGCAACCTGGAATAAAGGTTGCCAATGAGTTGCCGAGCCAGTGAAAGAGGTGGATTTTTCACTCACATGCTTTCTAGTTTCTTCCTTTGTGACCCACAACCCCTAATTTGGGGAGGACAAGCTGCCCCAATGGTTCCTGACCTCATGGAAAGTTGTGGGGCACCGCCCCCACGGACCCAGAGTTGTGGGGGCAAGCTTCCCCCACTGCCCCATCCCCCGGTTCCCGCGCCTATGTATAAATCTATGAAATTTTGTTGGTAGATTTCCGATTTCGATTCCTCCAGCTGGGGAGGGGGGGGGGGGGCTCAAATACATTACGAGCCCCCCCAGCCGAAAAGTTGGAGGGGCTCAGCCCCCGCTAGCCCCCCCCCCCCCGTTCCCGCGCCACTGGCTTTATACAAATCAGTCCCACGCAGGGGGGTACGCTCCGGCTGTTTAGCATTACGAAAAATGGTGACAGACGTTTGTGGAGGATTGTCGACGAACTCTTGTTCCGCGAGCAGTACTTACACGCTAGCGGAAAATTCACCAATCAGCGCTCGGCAGTACTCGACGCTGATTGGTCCGACGCTCGTGACGAAATTGCGGGGGACCGCAGTTATTCTCTATGGACCCGAATAGGCTTTTGGATTTCGGAGGAGTTTCTTTAAAATTATATGCTGTTTGGAGCTGTTTTCGAGTTGAAATATATTTCTTATGACTGTTAGCTATATAATGACACCATAAAATCATGATTTTAATAAATATTACCGATGTAATATCGGCCGAAAAGACATGCTGTCATGGCACGGACTGCCCTGCGGCTGATGTGGGGCCCCTAGTGCCAGCGTATGGTAATAATGGGTTGACGAAGGGTTATTGGAGAAACTTAGAGCCCCTTTAACATTCAGTATAGGGTCATCAGAGGCCGGGAATGTCCATCAGGGGTCTGAGTAGGCCTGTCATAGGGGCATACATGACACATCATGGCCCATGGGTCAATGTAGATCCATTAGGGGCCGTTGAAGGGCCATCATTGTTCAGCGTGGGCTCGCAATTACCTCTGATGGGCATATGCCGTGCCCCGATGGACTAACGCTGGCCCCTGATGAACCATCACCAGCCCCTGATAGGTCTACAAAGCCCTCTGCTGGGTCCAAATTGGTCACTGATATGCCCAAATGGGCCACTGAGAAACCCGTACAACATCCCCTGACTGCACCTGCTGGACCAATGCCGTCCCCTCATGGGCCCACCACAGCTCTTGAATGACCTTTTCAAGTCCCCTGAAGTGCCTTTATTGGCCTAAATGGCCCCTGATTGACTGATGTGGTCCCTATTGGTCCTATATGGCCCCCATGAGCCCTCAACGTCGGCCTAGACAGCCTTACATTATATGCCACTGGGCCCTGTTGGGTCAGCACCGGCCCCCGATAGGCTTGCACACTGGACCCACCGGGCCTATACCGACCCATGAAGGGTCTATGTCGAACCCTCACGGACCTCCGATGACCACACGCCGACATGTGTGGCCCAATCAGCAGTGGTCCGTCTATCCCATGTACTTACGGTCTTTTTGGCCGATGTGACACCGGTAGTATATAGAATGTCATGATTAAATGTCGTTATTACACAGTCAAAAGTCACAGAAAGAATATCCAAGCTCAAAAATGGCCTCAAACCCAACAAAAACTGGTATAAATCCCCTTCAAAAGCCGTAAGTCTATTAAACGCCATAGGGGAATAGCTACAGTCCCCCGCAATTTCGTCACGAGCATCGGGCCAATCAGCGTCGAGTATTGCCGAACGCCGATTGGTCGATTTCCGCTAGCCTGTAAATGCTGCTTGCGGATATAGTTTTGAACAAGTGAGGGTCGCGGCTACTAATTATCGCTTGTCACCACTTTTTCGTCGGGAACGTTCTACCTGGTTTATATAGCCTTGGTCCCACGCACAAGGGGGAAAAGCTCAAAAAATTGAGCGCTCAAAAAATTGAGCGGGCCCCATTATGAAGGAATAGGCGAAACGATGGTATTTTATAATGCCTTTAGCGTCACACTACGGCAAATATCGTATCCAAATAAGGTATCAATGGCAAGAGAGAGCAACAAGGTTTCTTCTCGAACACTCGCCGTGATAATTTATATCGGTGTTTTTGGAAAGAAAATGCCCTAAAGACGCTCAACTTTTTGAGCGCCACTTGTCGTTCGGGACCGCGATACTCAATAAATTGAGCGCCACGACAGACGACAGTCAGCTGGCGCTCAAAAAATTGAGTGCCGGCCAGCATCTACACTCAATTTTTTTAGCGTTCTCCGTGACAGG